TGCCAAAACTATTTATCTGGAGGAAATGTCCTCAGAACCTGCTCTGATAATTACGTTGACCTGTTTGCATCAATCATTTGGATTGCACAACAATCCAAATATCTAAGTCTTAGTATTCTGCATAATACAAAAATGTAAAATAAACTTAGATCAAAATTTATGAAAAATTAAATCTTAAAGTAAAAATATTTATTATTTCTGATTTATTTTTAGAGCGTAAATCAGACTCGGGCGAATGTAGTGATCAATCGCGGGGACGATCAAAAATATTTGAATTTATTTACTATTGTTGAAAAATTTGTTTTATTTGATTTTGATTGCTACAATTTAGTTGCTAAAATTAATTATGGAGGAAACGTCCTCAGAGCCTACCTTGAATAATTGCGTTAGACTTGTTTTGCAGCAATCATTTGGATTGCCAACAATTAAAAATATCTAGTGGTTATCAGAACGTCGTGTATTTCAGTTCTGCATTATACAAAAATGTAAAATGAACTTAGATCAAAATTTATTAAAAATTAAATCTTAAAGTAAAATATTTTTATTATTTCTGATTTGTTTTTAGAGCGCGAATCAGACTCGGCGACGTAATGATCAATCGGGTATAGATCGCGGGGATGATCAAAAATATTTGAATTTATTTACTATTGTTGAAAAATTGTTTTATTTCAATTTTGACTGCTATAATTTAGTTGCTAAAATAATTATCTGGAGGAAACGTCCTCAGAGCCTACCTTGAATAATTGCGTTAGACTTGTTTTGCTGCAATCATTTGGATTGCCAACAATTAAAAATATCTAGTGGTTATCAGAACGTCGAGTATTTCAGTTCTGCATTATACAAAAATGTAAAATGAACTTAGATCAAAATTTATAAAAATTAAATCTTAAAGTAAAAATATTTATTATTTCTGATTTATTTTTAGAGCGCGAATCAGACTCGGCGAATGTAGTGATCAATCGGGTATAGATTGCGGGGACGATCAAAAATATTTGAATTTATTTACTATTGTTGAAAAATTTGTTTTATTTCAATTTTGACTGCTATAATTTAGTTGCTAAAATTAATTATCTGGAGGAAACGTCCTCAGAGTCTGCTCTGAGTAAATACGTTTGACCTGTTTGCAGCAATCATTTGGATTGCCACAATCCAATATATCTAGGTGGTTATCAGAACGCCGAGTATTTCAGTTCTGCATAATACAAAAATGTAAAATGAACTTAGATCAAAATTTATGAAAAATTAAATCTTAAAGTAAAAATATTTTATTATTTCTGATTTATTTTTAGAGCGTAAATCAGACTCGGCGAATGTAGTGATCAATCGGGTATAGATTGCGGGGACGATCAAAAATATTTGAATTTATTACTATTGTTAAAAAATTGTTTTATTTCGATTTTGACTGCTATAATTTAGTTGCTAAAATTAATTATCTGGAGGAAACGTCCTCAGAGTCTGCTCTGAGTAAATGCGTTAGACCTGTTTGCAGCAATCATTTGGATTGCCACAATCCAAAATATCTAGGTGGTTATCAGAACGCCGAGTATTTCAGTTCTGCATTATACAAAAATGTAAAATGAATTAGATCAAAATTTATTAAAAATTAAATCTTAAAGTAAAAATATTTTTATTTCTGATTTTTTTCTGATTTATTTTTAGAGCGCGAATCAGACTCGGCGAACGTAATGATCAATCGGGTATAGATCGCGGGGATGATCAAAAATATTTGAATTTATTTACTATTGTTGAAAAATTTGTTTTATTTCAATTTTGACTGCTATAATTTAGTTGCTAAAATTAATTATCTGGAGGAAACGTCCTCAGAACTTGCTCTAAGTAATTACGTTTGACCTGTTTGGATTGCCAACAATCCAAAATATCGAGTGGCTATCACAACGAAGAGTATTTTAATTATGCATAATACAAAAATGTAAAATGAACTTAGATCAAAATTTATTAAAAATTAAATCTTAAAGTAAAAATATTTTATTATTTCTGATTTATTTTTAGAGCGCTTATCCGACTCAGCGAACATAATGGTCAATCGGGTATAGTTTGCGGGGACGATAACAATTATTTGAATTTATTTACTATTGTTGAAAATTTGTTTTATTTTGATTTTAATTGCAACAATTTAGTTGCCAAAATTGATTATCTGGAGGAAACGTCCTCAGAGCCTGCTCTGAGTAATTAAGTTTGACCTGTTTGCAACAATCATTTGGATTGCCACAATCCAAAATATCTAGTGGTTAATCAGAACACAGTATTTCAATTCTGCATAATACAATAATGTAAAATGAACTTGGATCAAAATGTATGTAAAATTAAATATTTTATTAAAAATATAATAATGTTTCTGATTTATTTTTAGAGCGCGAGTCAGACTCGGCGAACATAATGATCAATCGGGTATAGATTGCGAGGACGATGTTTGCGCAGAACCTGTCCAAGATTTCGATCCTGTGAAAATAATTCCACATCCAGAATACAAAGACGAACTATTTAAACATGATATAGCTCTGATAAAATTGGATAGAAAATATAATAAAAATGGTAATTATTATTTTGTTTTTACATGCATTTATAGAAAATATAGTTCCAATATTTGAGGGTTAAGAAACATCAAACCGCGGTAGTGTAACCAGGGACTAGTAACCATGTATCATGAAATTTTTTTTTTAACAAATGCTAATATAATATAAACTATGTCAATAGACAAATTATATGTAGTAAGGAAAAAGTTCCAAATTACTGATCATATTTAAATTGTTCAAGTCCTGAACGTAAGGACTTCAACCAAAATCGTTCACCAAAAATTTATAACAATAAAATAGATTACTAAATTGCAATTAAATAAATTACTACATTCCATCAAGCGGATTAAAAATATAATGGACTTTCATTTAACTAACTCTGACTCCAAATCAGCAAAAAATTATATAATTACTACTTATATCAAAATTACAAAACAAATAAAATGCTTAAAACTTTATAAGCAACAAAATAATATTACAACTTTATTAAGCGGCAATAATATTAGGTGAGGTAAACTTTAATAGTAAGGACTATCAAGGAAAAATCAGTTATCGGATTTGTAATCTTCGGACTATTACTAGCAATATATCATAAATTTAAAAAAAAATAAAATGTGTTTTTATTGCACTGAGAAAACATCGGTAAACAAATTTCAACTCATTTTAATCATTTGAGAAAAAAAGTTTAAAATCATTATTATGATTATTTACCAATATTTTGCTGTATAAATGTTGTCAAAAACAGAATCATAGTAGAGTTTTGGTTGAGAACAGGGGCACTACAATATATATATATATATATATATATATATATATATATATATATATATATATAATAACTAGTTTGCAAAATAAACTATGCCAAAAAACACCATTTATTAACGATTACCAAAATACCACATAGTTAATTAT